CCTCTTAAGCATACTTAAGCTTTTTCCATCCATGATCTTATTCTGATCCACACAGGCCCAGAGTTTAATAAAAGCAGCTTTTCTCTAGGTGGCAACCAGAGGCTTACGGTTGCAAAACCACCTTTCAGGCCCATGAGCTTTAGGTAAAGCAGGGAGCCGGGCGGGCTGGGGCAGGCGCGGCCCTGGGGTGGCTGGATGTCCAGCCATCGTGAGGTGAGACCCTCATTTTGGAACAAAGACCCGATTTTGTGCTGTGCGCCAACCTGCCACGTTGTGTGGCTGGCCTTTTGCTGTGAGGGCTGGGGGTTCGAGCCGGATGTGTGCTTCACCTCAGCCCAGCATGTAGCCCCTGGGGCTTTCTGAAAGGCATGTGGGTCTCGTCTCCTCTCACTTCAGCGACAAGCTGCTTCTCCGTGCTCTACCCATGCTCTGTGCTGCAGGAATTCTCCGCCAGGCCTGGACCTGCCCTGGAAGGACTTAGGGAAAACGCCTGCATTGCGGCAGGTCCGGGCGCGTCCGAGTGTACACATGGCCCTGGTGATTCTAACAGTAGCCAGGATGGAACCGAATGGTGCGGGGCGGGCCTGGCGCAGCTCCTGGCCTTCAGTGGGCGTTTAGTGCCAGCTTCTCACTTCTTATTTGGCTGGAAAGCCAATCCGAGGTGTGAACAAGAGGCCTGTCTTTGGGTGCCTTGTTTGGGTCAGAATGGAGGCTCAGAGGCATGCTGGCAATAGGGGAGCTTCCAGGGTGGCTGGTGGAGGGGGGAGGTGGGTGGTCAGCAGGAAAGGCTTGTGGGGTGATTGGGGGTGGACTCTGGCCACCAGCTCCGTCCACCAGCTCTGTCCACGGTGTGAGTCTGGTCGAGGGTTGCATGTGCAGTTGCTCACTGAGAAATCTTCCAGCTTTGCAGATGTTTGTAATGAAACCCTCAAGCCGAGATGCAGTATTTCCCTCTTTCTTTTGCATTTCTCAGTTTTCCTTAAGTGTCTCTGTGATTACTAAAGTTGAAGTTCCACAACGATTACGTCCTGCAAACAAGTGGTGGAGGCCTCCAATGAATTTTAGGCCAACTTCATTTCCAACTTGCTTACTTTTGAAAACAAAGTAGTCTTAATTTCTCCAAACTTAATCAACCCCCGAGCCACAGGCCATGGATTCTTGTAGGAAGCTGACTGTGGACCATGCTGGCGGCCCAGGGAGGGGGTGGGTGGTTCTGGAGCAGCAGGAGGAGGAAGGGTACCGAGGGTCTCAGCCACGAGCAGGAAGGGCGTCAGGCTGGTGACAACCGCACGTGACCATGGTGTGGACAGATGCCCAGGAGCCGAGACTCAAGGGTTCACTACGGGGTTCAGGTGCGCTTCCCAAGGGAAGCAGCTGAGGAGCGAGGCTCAGGCACCTCCAGCACACGGTGGTGGTGGGGTAGACGCAGCCCAGGACAGGGGTGGGCAACAGTGGAGACATCATACGTGTTGGAGCAGCTGGGCCGGCTGTCCGGCAGGCCGAGTGCGGCTCTCCAGTCCTGCAGGCTCCTTGGGCACCGCCCACAGCTAGCACCAGGGGCAGACATGGGGCCCTGAGCAGGACCGTGGAACCTTACTCTGTACCTAGCAACTGGGCTGGTGACCCCAGGCATTGGAGTTGGGGACACTGAGTCACAGAACTGTGGGATGACTTGTGTCCCTACAAGCCAAGCAAGGCTGGTCACTGTCACAGCTGGTGGCCAGCTAGGGAGGGAGGGTAGGGAGCCATTGCGGAGTGCTGAAGGGAGCGAGGCCTGTAGCCCTGGGCTTCCGCTTCTGCCTGTGTACCTCGCCAGGGCTGCCTGAGAGGGGACAGAGCCACGGACGCCAGCGGCGTCCACTGCTGTGACAGCAGCGCCATCAACCTGGGTCTGCAATGCAGGGGACCCTTTACAGCATGTTCCCATTTCTCAGATGGACACAATCGATGTGGAGAGAGCAGCGCCGGGAGCAGCTGGGCTGGCAACACTGAGCTTCCAAGAACGGGCTGTTTGCAACTATGCCCTCCGCCACCCTCCCAAAGACAAATGGAAACCCTGTCCTCTTCTCAAAACAGTTGAGTGTAGTTTGCTCTTTAACTGCTTAAAAACCCTGCCCCATTCCTTTTCCCCCTTTGACGGTGCCTTAGTGTTTGAACTCAGTGCCTTGAGCTCAGCTGGCTTGCTTATGGCTGGTGCTCTACCACCTGAGCCACACCTCCAGCCTGTGTTTTTGCTGGCTATTTTGGATGAAGACTTGAGGATTTGTCTGTCCTGCCTGGTCCTCCAGATCCTAGTTCCCGAGTAGCTAGGATTACAGGTGTGGACCATGGATGCCTGGAGAAACCCAAAATGTTTAAAAATGTAATTTTATGAATATCATTTCCATAATTTAAAAAATCTTATACTTTTCACAAGTTAATTATATTTAAATACATGTATGTATCACAGAATTATCTGCCCACAGCTTAACTGCTGAAGGAACAGGAAAAAAGAATGCTTAGACTAAACATATTTTCATGAAAATGAAGACAAATGAACTAATAAATTGTCAGCTTTCAGTAAGTAATCTCCGTATTGGATGACTGAATTTTCTGGTAAAATATTTACCATGCTCTTTAAAACCCTTTTAATCAACGGAAACACAGAGAAAGCTCAAAGTGACGGGCCAGCCTCTGCTGGCTTAAGAGCTGAAGTGATTTCTACTGAAGTTCGTTTTAATAAGAGGCAAATTGATTTCGAGCGATTCTCGTCTTGGTAGCGCAAGCTCCTGCGCTCAGCTCCAAGCACTGGGCGTGGAGGCCTAGGTTCAGAGGCCAAACAGGTAATTCATCATCAAGTCCTTTTCAATTATCTTAGGATTGGCCCGGCCTGTGACCCACAGCACCGGGCAGGGGCTGGCCTCTCTTATTTTTCCATGTGGGAATCGATATAAACTGGCTAGCCATACACTAAAAACAATTAACATAAGTCATTAAAAATATGCATCCCCAGCCCCTAGATGTATTAAATTAGGACCAACAAAGGTGGGCCGGGGTGGGGGCTGCATTAGACTCCATGTCCCAGCCTGCACAGGTTGGGGCCCCTCAGATACCCCAAGGCCATGCCTGGGGCATTTCTCACAGGGATGGGGCCCTGAGTCCCCTAAAGGTTTGTGTTTTATGATGAGAAGACCAAGTGGCACCTGTGCCCTTGTCCAGCCTGGTCTGTGGAGAGGAGGCAGGCGGCCACCGAGAGCATGGCCCAGTACCTCTCCATGCTGCTGGCCACACTGCTACCAGCCCCTCCTCCAAGGAGTCTGAGAGGTTGGATGGGGATTGGGGCTCACACACCCAGTGCCCACCCAACCCCTGCTCACCAAAATCTCTTTGCCCTGCTGCTCAACCCTGGCAGTGCCGCCACCTGGCGCTGGGCACCTCTGTGCTGAGGGGTCTCGGGCACTGGCTGGAGGCTGCTGATCTTGGCCCTGACCCGTCCGATACCAGCCACGCCTATTTTCTGTTGCTAAAACACAACACCGCAGTCTAGGTGAGTCATAAAGAAGAGAGGTTCATTTTGACTTACGGAGGGTGGAAGCAGATCCTCTGGGACGGGCTGGTGTCTCCTGCTGTCTCTCCCTCATCTCCTACAACCACCCAGACCCAATCAGCAATCCCCAGGGCGGTGATCTAGTTCTAAGCCCCTCCCATAGGCCCCCAGCTGGGGCCACGGTCAGATTGCTTCTATTTCTGCAGCAAGTTCCAACGTGAGGTTTGCAGGGGACAAAGTGCATTCAAATCATGGCTGTCCCCTGCGGGGACAACCAATTAAGAGACCTGGGTTCCCTCCTGTTAAAAGGCATCCACCGTATGAAAATCTAACAAATAGAATTTAGCAAGTACAGTGTCTTTCCAGGGGCGCTATGAGTAACTACTGTTGCCAACTAATTCTCAGGGTTAGCTATGACGACAAATTCCTCCATTTTAACCTAATGAAAAACACATAAAATCCAAAGAGCACAATCGTCCATACAGGAAGACTTCAACTTGCAAACAGGCTGGGTAGGAAGTTCACTTACGCGGGTTGACGCGGGTTGTTTGGAGGGTGCTGTTGCCATAGTAAACGGAGCCTTGGCCACCTCTGCCCGAGAGCTGGGTCTAACGCGGTCACACAGTGGTTGTACCTGACTAGTGATGAAATACATTCTAGTCCTGTGGCTCCAGGAAAGCAGGATTAGCCAGAGGTGGCATGTGTTGGGCTCCTGGCTGAGGCTCAGTGGCCATGCTGGGCTGGCACCTGTGTCCATGGGCCTGAGGTACAGTTGGCGCCCGAGGGTGGGAAGGCTTCCCTGGGGTCTGCCTAAGGTGGAGGCCTGATGACACGGTATGGGGTGCCTCCAGGCGTGGGCGGGCCCAGGAGAGGCACCTGCTGCGGGCTGGTGTCTGCATTCCGCACAGTGGTAACCCCAGGTTGTGGCACAGGGTGGAGGCTGGCTGGGGTGTGCTGTGCCGTGCCCAGGGCACTCTTGGCTCACCTGTCCACTGTGGTTCTCTACCAGCTCAAGGCAGCGCCCCTCCCATCTACACAGGGGGAGGCCTTGAGCCTGGGAACTTCCGTGTCCAGGGGTGGAACGAGAAACAGCTGTGTCTCCCTGACTGAGCCCACACTTCAGTGAGGTTCTAGGCAGAAGAGACTTGGTCAAGCACCTTGGGAACTCGCAGGTGGCACTTGCTCGGCCTCTTCTGCGCCAGCCTTCAGAGCCCGCACCTGCTGCTGGACGGTGCACATCCACACGCTGAGCTCACCGCAGCCACGGGCGCTCCACCTGCGACAAGTCCTCCCTTCCTGGGCTCCTCCAGGACCAACACCTCCTGTGGGGTGTTCACGCTTCCTCCGCCCCATCCCTCCCCGCCCTGCCTTCCAGTCTCGTACTTACTTTCCTGCAGTTTCACTTAGCAATGGGGCCTGTGCATTCTCATCTGAAAAACCAGGAACACAAAACAAACTTTTGACACCAGGAAGCTCCAGTGGCAGGATTTCAGGCACCTTTATTCACGGCAGACAGTTCTGGTTGGAGACTTGCCTCTGAAATCTGTGGTCCAGGGCGCCAGCTCCTCCCCAAGCCCCACTGCCTGCAGCCCTGGCTGCCACTTGCCATTTAGGGGCCTAGAGAAAGAAGGCTTTGCACACAAGTTTCAGCCAGACTGGCCAGAGCTCAAAACTGGGATGTTAAGGGAATACAGCACCACCTACTGACTGAAGGAGGACCGTGGTGACTCCATTTTAGCAGATTTGACTCCTGTGTGTTCCCCAGATAATTTTAAATAAACATTTCTGTGCAGTACAACCAAGAATGGTGGTATGGGAAACAGGTTTTTCTGAATGAAGGTCTCCCCCACAGTGTCTGAAAGCACTGCGGGGTTTCAGTCGCCTGGCTTGCCTTCCAGACTGTTAATGCTGGCTTCTTAGCACCAGACACTGCAATCTGAGCGCAAGAGTTACTGTCTCTGCCTTCGAGGATCAACAATAAAACTGATACTCTGCAAGAATTTCGGCAAAAAATGTTACTCAACCACCAGAGGTTCCTACTGGTCACTCAGCCTTTTCTAGCCACGTGACTGGCACAGACTCGATCCAGTTTCTCTCTCCTCTCTTTCCATCTGTAGTTTAAAGAAGGTCTAAGGTCACTGAGATTTAAAATCCTGCCAGGTGTCTGTGGTAACACTGGTAGGGTCTGGACGAAGTTACTAGAATCTCATGCACTAACAAAGGAGCACCTCGCTCCACCAGGCTCAACACGGTAAGGAGGTGGGGACTCATCACTGACCTCAGTGCTCAAGCTCAATTCTGAGTTTTGGCAATAGAGTAATTAGTGACAGTATTTCTGAATAAAAAAATCTTCACATGCATTTAGTCCTTTGCAAGTATGGTCAACAAACTACTCAACAGTCACTTTGTGCTGAGAATAAAAGAACCCTAAACTACAAATGTCTCACATCACTACATCGAACAATAAAAGGAGTTACTATTTCTCTAATAAAAATTACACAGTAACTTGTATCAAACAGCAATTACTACAAAAGAATGGCAGGAGAAAATGACTTCACAAAATGCACTAAAAACTTGGAAAACTTTATGCAGGAACTACCAAAATTTCAGTGTTTAATAATTAGGTGACAACTGACCAAGTGTCTAGATGTGAAGACACCATGTTTGGGAAACTTGGGGGGGGTGGGGCGGACTCTAAACTAACTTTACAGGACATGGTAGCAATGTGCTCTGGAAGATAAACCCAGCCACGCAGGGCAGTGGGTGTGAAAGCCACTTGCTTTTCCTGGCGTCGAAGACGATGCTCCAGATTTCAGTGGAAAACATCAGCAACCTGTTGGAAGAAACAAACAAACGAAAACATTACAATGGCTTTCTTCACTTGAGGACAAATAAAAACGATACACAAGCACCAATTACAGGGCTTTTGGACTATTCTATTGTATTCTATGTATTTTCTAGGCATAATACTCTACCAAAATGAAAGCGTTTTATTGGAAAATTTTCTGAATCTACTTCTCACTCCCATTTCTTTCCTTGAATTATTTTTGTCACTTGATGGTCTTTGACAATCTTCAATCCTGCTATCTTGGGATTTCTCAGTTGGTGGGAATTCTAACTACGAGGAACTCCCCTCCAAGGTTTCAAGATGGCAAGACATTTTCTAGATGAACTTCAGATTGGAATGAAGATGACAGAATACATGTAACGTAGCTGTGTGATTTTCTCGCAGTGAATTAACCCAATCTGTGGTTAAGACACACGCAAATTCAGGCAATACTGGCCACTGGAACCTCAGCCTACTCTCAAGGGTCAGGGCAACTTTCATTTCAGTAATGGAGTACCTGTTCTACTCACATAAAATTCAGAGTAAACCTCCTTTTTAGAGGAAATTAAATTGCTACAAATGACATGTGAAAGAAGTGTGAAACTCCTTAACAAAGTCTCTGATACCACATACACACACATGGGTGAAGAAGCCCATAGTGCTGATGGACTCCTGGGCATCTGTCTGTCTTGCTCTAAGTGGAGTTGAAATTATGAATAGTCTTTCTTTATTCTCTGAAACTGTCCAGTACAATGTAATCAGGCCTGGAGTAAAGGCCAAATGTGGCCATGGTCTAGCTCATCCATGACAATAGTCTTTATAAGTTGAAACATTTTTAATGTGGATAGCCTACCTGTTGTTTTAAAGCCAAAATTAAATGAACAAATAAAGGAAAATCTTCCAGTGGCAAAGGCAGGCCATGGAGTTGCTGGGAAGACCACGGGAGACCAGAACTGGAACTTGAACTTGGTACTTATGCTTTTCCGCACGTGGCTACAGCTCTACCCACTGTGCCATCCCGCCAACCACTGTTAACTCGTTAACTAACAATGACATGGGTCTGATTAGTAAAAACTAGGAAAATAGAAGTCTACATGAAGGAAGGGAGCTTGGTGTAAACAGATGTGAAAGCCCGCGTCTGCGTCGGCGGCGGGTGCCTCCGGGATGCCCGGAGGTCTGGGAGGCCGCGCGAGTCGGCCCGGCACGTCACGGGCCAGGTGGGCTGGCGGCGATTCTCAGCTGGGCGTCACCCCGGTGCCCCCTCACCTTCAACTCTTCTGTGTGGCTGGGATCTTGTTTTCACCTTCCAGCTCTTCCACCCCAGCCTGGGTCATGAGGTCGGCGATGTTCTTCTCCAGATCGTCGATGCGACTGCTCATGTCATCGAGTGGCCCCGTCATTAAGGAAACGCACAGCCACACGCAACTGCGGGTCTCTCCGAGGCCCCGCGTGCCCCTCCGCGGTGCGGCGGGCCCGGGGCTCCCGCTGCCCGCCGGGGCGGCCGCCCAGCCCGGCCAGGCCCGTCCCGGCCCCCACCCTGCCCCGAGGGGCCCCGCTGGGGCCGACGGCCCGGGAAGGATATTTCTCCCGATGATCTGGTCCGACATGGTCTGGAATTTATCCTGCATCTGCTGCAAGAGCGTCTGCACCTAGGAGAAACCAGAGCCCACCAGCAACACGCAGCGCGTCCGGCCGGCCCCCGCCCCGGGCCGAGCGCGGGCCTCCCGCGGGCGCCGGCTCCCCGGGCGGCGGGCCGAGCGCGGGCCTCCCGCGGGCGCCGCGCGTCCTCCTTACCACTGAGGTGAGGTCCTGCACGTTCTTGGGGTCGGTGTCAGCCATCTCCCCGGTTCCCAGCTTGGCGGCGAAGGTCTGGAGCCGTCAGCGCCACTTCCGTTTGTCACCGCGGGCAACCCTCCCCCTCGGGCCCCCATCTCTCGCGAGGAGACCGGCTACTCGCGGGGCCGCAGGGCATTGTGGGGGCTGTAGTTCACATCACACACCGGAAAGCTCGCTTTCCATTCGGAGGTGATGCCCCGCCCATCCTCGTGGCTCCGCCCACCACCACCTTCCGGCCCCCGCGCACGGAGGGCCGCCGAGACGAAGCCGGAAGTGGGCCGGGGAGGGCGGGATCGCCTGGGTTTCCACGCGGGCTGTGTGTCGGGCGCGCCCTTGCCCGGGGTGCGCCTTGTGAGGGCCCAGAGCAGGACACACGGCCAGCCCTGCGCCTCTTTTGCCTTTCTCCCCACCCCAGAGCCCACGCGTGCCCCACGGCGACTGCTTGGCCTGTGCTGGGCTTCTTGGGAGGTGGCCGCCATGTTTGCAGGCCATCTTCAGGGCTGGTCTCGCCGTCCGGGCGCCGCCGGGGCGGGTGGAGGAGGGACTTCCGGCCGGCGCCGGGGAAGGAGGCCGCGCGGCCCGTGCTGGGACCCTGGCCGGGGCTGCGCGGCCACGAGGGCGGATCGGGTCTCGGGTTGACGGAGTTGGGGCGGCCGCAGCGGGCTTGGCCAGGGCGGCCCGCCCCAGCTACGCTTTCCCTCAGCCCCCAGCCCTCCCCTTCTCGCCCGTGCACGGAGACTTTCCCTCCTGTGCCGTGTGCAAGGCTTTAGATAGGTGTATGTGCACGCACGCACACACACGCATCAGATGCTTCCCCGGACTACCGGAAATGGGCATGGTGTTTGTTCTAACTGGAGCCTCTGAAGACACATGCCGTAATCTCATGGTCTTACAATTTTGAGAAAGCAGACACAGGACTTAAGAAACAGGCCAATCAGATTACGGTGGTGATAGATGCAGGACTTTCTACTTTTTCTATCATCCTCGAGTTCTCCTCTGTCAGCAGCTGCTGTATTTGGCAGTCTAGGTCAGAGAATTCCTTGTGGTGGTGGTTGTAGGATGTTGAGTAGCAGTTCTGACCTGTGCCCAGTAGATACCCTCTCTGCTCTACCACCAGCTCTGACAACAACTCAAAACATCTAGACACTGCCAAATGTCTTCTTGGGGCAGAGGTTATAGGAATCAGAAGACATTGCCAAAAATTGGTTTTTGCTACAGCCGTTTCTTGAGAATGTTCCCCTATATATATATATATATGTTGAAATTGAAGATTGGTTGTATGTGTTTTCTACAGTTTCTATCGCACATTGAGTGACTTCAAACAACAGGAGTTTACTATTCTACAGGTTAGAAGTATCAATCTGTTGTCAGCTCCTGTGGGAGGACCTGCTCCTTGCCTCTCCAGCTTCTGGCAATTGGCAGCATTTTTGGGAATCCTTAGCTTATAGGATGCAGCATAGCAATCATTTCTGCTTCTGTCTTCACATGGCCCCTGCCTGCGTGCCTTTCCATTCTGATAACGACAGCATCATTTTGCATTAAAGGCCTACCCTAAGCCACGTGACCTATCTTAATTCATTGTAAGTGTGTGATGATCCTACTTCAAAATAATGTCCGTTTCCAGCTATGAAGGGTTAAGATTTCAATGAACCTTGTCTAGGGCTTATAATTCATAATAACAAAGTAATATGGTAATTGTACAAAGTGCTTTGTTCCATGCTAGTTATTTTGTAGAGTTTTCATAAAGCTTTGGGGTCATTTAGTGGCTAGCTCAGGTCAGGCTGGGCCTCAGGCTTCTGCCTTTGGGCTATATAACACAGTATAGATCTAGTCTATGGCCATGAGCAACATGTAAACATGGATTATCAGCAGGAGATAGTTTCTTCCTTCCTTTCCTTCTTTTGACAAGAAATTTGAAGGTTTTTAAACCCTGGTTGGAATTTTCTTTATGCTCTGGTGACACTATGGTGACAGCTTAAAAGAACTTTTTTGTTTTTTGCACTCGAAGAGAAGACATGTTTTCTGTGTATATATAGGCTAAGATCTGTTGAACCGTTTTGTGTAAAGGCTTCATTAACTTATCACCATGACTGATCTCACTGCATGGGAATGTCACACAGGACCGAATATTGTTTCATGAACAAGACTGCTGTATTATGTGTAAAGCATCAGTAATTAACCTTTAAGCTGAAATTTGGAACAACACTCCTTTTGAACCTTTATTTTCATGACATAGTTGTCTTACCTCCCCTTAGCATTTTTTCCTCTTTCTAGATAAATTGTATGTTGTGGTTCTCTTTTTCAGGATGGCCCGGTTCTTATATTAGTAGTTTTTTTCATTCACAATTGGCCTTAGGTGACACACCGTCATTGGCTGGATGTGACCAGCTGTTTATGCGTTGGCCTTGTGCAAGTGGAGCAGGAAACATCATAACATGGTCTACAGCAATCCTGCTTCTTTCTGTTCCTCATGCAACTGCCTGAGCTCTGATAGGCCCCCACCCTGGGTTGGTGCTGAGTTCACCTTGTTCTCTCTCCCACTGCCACGTGAGGCTGGTGAGAAGCTGGCATCTAGAGGAGCCATCAGATGTCATCTTTTCAGTGGCCTGGTTGGCTCTGGCTTCAGTGGCCATTCCAGACCTTTGCAGATTCCTCACACCGGCGGTTTCATCCCCTTCACTCTCAGAAGATGACCTTAATTTCTCAGGAGAAAAGTTTCTGAGAAGACAGTGCGGGCTCTCAGTCACGATGCCTCGTGCCCATCCTTTGGTACGTGGCCCCGTAATTGGAAAGGAGGAGGCTCAGCAAAGCAGCACTGAATCAATCCATAACATCGGGTCACCACTCCTCGGGGATCAGGTTCACAGGGCCAGCCCGGGAATTCCTGCAAATGCTAGATAACCGTCCTTTTTCTCTTTGGCAGTACTGGGATTTGAACTCAGGGCCTTGTGCTTGCCAGGCAGGTGCCTCATCTCCAGTCCCCTTACACTGGTTATTTTTGAGGTAGGGACTTGATCTCTGCCTAGGCGCATGCCTGGGCTGCCTTTTGCCCACTTTAGGCTTCTTGCCTAGTTAAGATGACATGCAATGCCACTATGCCCAGGTGTGTGGAGAAGTGGGTCACATGAACTTTTTTGCTCAGGATGGCCTCTGAATGACACTCTTAATCTCAGCCTCCCAAGAAGCTGGGATTCCAAGTGTGAGCTGGAACTGAGCTGGGTACCTGTTCTGTACGGCGCAATCATACAGGGCACAGGGGGCCGCTGTGCTGGCAGGAGGAGGTGCAGGGACAGGACACACACTGTCCAGTGCTGGCCTTGCTGAGGAGTGGAGTCAGGCTCAGCTAGACAGCAGACTGTCCAGTTGTGTCAGAGTTAATTGAGAACCACTAGCATCTAGGTACCAGCCCTCCTGGTGGGGACTCCATGTGAAGATGGAGGCCTGCTAGGCTCTCTGCAGGGTGTTCTTCATGCTTTGACTTGGGCATGAAGACAGGAGCTCCCAGTTTTGAGGCTGTGTTGACAGAAGAACAGAAAATGGCTTTTTGGAGGATGGGCGGGGGAGAAGACTGGCCTGACCGGCAGTGTCGTGATCCAATCGTCTTGAATTGCTTTGCTTTGGGGTTTGCAGTTACGTTTATGCTTTTTATGTTCATTTGAGGCAATTTTCCAAATTAGTGTCTCCATGCCTGCCTGCCAAGGAATCAGTCTGCCATTTATTTACCCAAAGCAGCAGTTTCCTGGAGACAGACTGCCCAGGGAGGAGGGAAATGACTTGCATGGGCTGGCTCGCAGGTCTGGGTTCTTCTGCTGTGCACTCTGTCCTCGTAACTTGTGCAATCACAATCTGCCCCTCCCAAACCGGTGCCCTGTGGCCACGATGTAAACACATTAGTTTGTTCTTGACTTAAGAACTGATGCCGACTTTGGGGTAAACAGAACAAGTACCAGAGTGCTGTCACACACAGCCCTTGACAGGCGTGAGGCCTTGTGCAAGATGCTGTGAGCTTGGAGAGTCTCAGTGTCATATCTATGGGATGGAGATGACATGCATTTTAATAGTATAAATCACAAGTTACATGTAAATCACACAGGCAGTGTGTAACATACTATATGCATACATAGAAGTGTATGAAGTGTCTGGCTCTTGGGAAGCATTTACTAAATGTTGATGCATTCTCTTTTTAAAGAACCTTTCTTATCTAATTGCTGTCTATCAGCTATCACCTATTACTTACCTATCATCTACTATCTGTAATACCATCTGTCACCTGTCATTTATAGCCTATCATATACTTATTATTTATCTGTAATCTCTACCATCTATCATCTGCCTAAATATCTATTACTTATCTATAATCTTCCTATCGATTCTACTTAGAGTCATCTATGCATCTTCCTATGCATCTCCTGTCTATCATCTACATATCTATTCTATTACCCAACAGCTCTCAGAATTAAAAGTGTGGCAGGAATTTGTTAGCGGGCTGTCATCAGGAGTTAACAGAAGGTTGTACCTAACAGTGGCAGGTGCAGGTTCTGATCAGTAAGCTGGTCTAGATGGAGAGCCACCCTGACACAGGCGTAGCCCGGGACATTCTGGTCTGAAGCAGACTATTGTTTGGTTTGCTGCTGGCTCAAGAGTGGCACTGGGCTGCTGTGGGAAGAACAGGAGCCCTGATGCCAAAGGCCTGGGTCTCCTGCTGGCCGCTTACCCTGGGCCGTGCTGACTCCTCCTCCCTCTCTGCAAGGTGGAAGGAGACCACAAAGCTTCCTGTTGCTGCTGTAAGGACTCAATGGAGAATCACCTACAACAGCTATTCTATGTTGAGGGCATCCAGTAAGCAAGCAGCAAGTGCAAACCATTATCACCATGAACGGTCCATCCCTCAGAATCTTCTAATAGCATGATCATAGGTACAGTGTAGACCAGCATCAGACAGACCAGCTAACAGTCTGTTGTGCTCTACCTCAAGGTAGACCAGATGTATTTATTTGGACTTACCTGCAGTCCAATCTACTTGGAAGGTTGGCTTGCAGCTGATTGTTCCATTGGCCTGTTTAAAATGACATGGTGAAAATCTGGGGTGAGCTATCAGCATTTCTAGCAATGTCTTTGTCTGGGCAAAGTTGTCTTTGGTGCCTACCATGCCAGGTGCCTGCCTGGGTTCACCTTGCTGTGGTGCCCTCCGTTTACAGAGAACTGTCCACACCGAGGGCCACGTTTATCCAAATTAGAAAACATGCTCTTATGAAACCACATTTCCCAAATAATGGATTTGTCATAGTAAATGGGAAAATGTAGTTTTTGATCAGCTGAGGAGGCTGATATATTAACAAGAAGTGAAGCGGACAGTTCACTCAGTGGAAATAAAAGCTTGTGTGTGTGTGTGTGTGTGTGTGTGTGTGTGTGCCCACGCGCGTGTGTGTGCACTAGTACCTGAGACTGAACTCGGGGCCTCGTGCTTGCTAGCCACCCCTCCCCCCAGTCGTTTGTTTTCAGATAGGGTCTGGCCTCCAAACTTGATCCTCCTGCCTCTGTCCCCCAAGTAACTAGGATGCAGGTGTGTGGCGTCATGATCCAGGCTCATTCTGTGTTGTCAGCTGTGCAGGTGTGTGACTTGTAGGCTGTGATGGCTGCTGGCTGGAGAGAAGGTGGGGAGGGCTCTTGCCTGTATCCTTTGGCAAGCAGCCATTCAGCGCCTGTGTTTCTTCCTGGGGGTGCTCCAGTTCACGTGGGAGAGGAGGTGATGGCCCCTCCACCTGGCAACCGAAGCTGCTCCTCAGCCCATAGGAGGAGAGAGGGGCACACGGGGTACACACGTGAGGACTTCTTAAACGTCCTACAACAAGTTGTGTGCCACGCATCTCCTGATGCAGCCAAACTGAGGCTGGTCCTCGTGGTCTGGGTCTCCGTCAGCTTCACAGCCATTAGGACCGCCGAGGTCACCACATCCGTAATCAGGCGTGAGCCGGCGCTGTCCTGCATGGATCCGTAAAGACAGACTCATTCGCCTCACAGAGCTGAGCTGGGGACCCAGAGGAGTCAAAACTGTGAACTTCTAAGACCCAGCATCGGCCACATCCGACGCAACATAGAAACCAGAGAAAAGCAACTGTCCAGCAGTTTTAACCACCAATACCCATTTATTTTAATGGAAAAAAACAAATCTCTGCATTCTATATTTTCCAAAAAGATTTACTATCGAAACAAATACAGTATGTGGAACTCTAGCTGCATAATTTCACTACAACCAAGGCAACATGTGCCTTCTATTTGCTATGGAAGGAGAACTGAAAAGCACAGGGCAAACGTCGATTGCATAAGGAAGCGTGTGCGTGCGTGTGTGTGTGTGTGTGTGCACACGTGTGCGCGCGCGTGTGGTTAAAACTTTAGTAAGCAGCTGCATTAAAATATGCTAAGACACTCACCTTACCCTAGGTTGTGGCAAGCTCTATTAAGAACCCACAGGCTGTCACTAGTTTTGTTTGATAGAAAAATTTGGTGTGAGCTTAGACGGTTCATTTACAGTTCATCAAGGAGAAGAGAGTCTTCGTGCAAGCACCCACTTTCCTGTTTCCATTACGTGCTCACAGAATAAGAGCCAATTACTTTGAATACAGAATGAACATCATTTATTTTCAGGTTTGCGAACGACGGTGGTCGAGTCACACAAAAGGGTACTTTTAAAACTACCTGTATTTACTCTATTTTATGCCTGTATATATGAAACCAACGGTGTGGGTGTGTACAATGTCTATACATGTGGGTGTGTATGCGTATACAGGATGGTACCTGCTGCCTCTTCGTGTGCACATGGGACGCGGTGATGCGTGTCATCACACGTGCACCGAGGAGCGAGAGACCCTACAGCGCCATCCACGCCGCCGGAAGTGCTGGCGACCACGGGGCTGGGATGCCATGGTAGATTTCAGCCCTTTTCTTGGCACTGATGGCAGGATTCCTTGCTCTGCACCTTGTCCCCGGGGCCCAGGGTCACGGCATTTGGTGGCAGTGGGAACTGGTGGCGGTCCTCACACGAAAGAGAAAGGACTTCCTTCTCTGCCCTCCCTGTCTGTGGACCCGCCTGGCTGGTTGTTCAGTGCGAAAGTGAGCACTCTGTGGCCTGTCCTGGTGTGGCGTGTTTAAGAGAGGGGCCGGAGGGGGCTAGCTGACCTCGCGCCTGACCCCTCCGTCTGACCTTTCAAATCTAGGCTTCTCCTGAATAGTCTCTCTCTATAAATACTGTGTATATACACATACAGATACTCATACATATACAAATACGAACCCACAGACACAGCTGCGTGAATGGAGCACTGGCTAGCAACATGGCAGCACGCGAGAGAAAAGTAGTCATTGTTCCGGCTCCCAGAAGGTCAAGTTCTCAGTCATGATCCTTAAACATTCAGGGGGGAGTGCAGAGGGTTACAGGAGGAAGGAAGATGCTGTCAAAACTGTGAGGAAGTCCGGACTAAAGGAAATTATAAAGGAAATGAAAATGCGGAGGGATTGAGGCCTAGTTGTGAAGTTCAATAGCTGTAAACGGCAATCTTCAGATTTGGATAGACTTTTTTCCTTGCTTTCTTTTTCCTGTTGCTATGGAAACTTGGGAGTCAAGCTTCAGATGTCAGGAGTTCTCACAGATCTGAATGGAGAAGGCTCAGAGTTAGACTGGGAATGTAACAACTCAATTCAAAATATTTCCACTAAACAGCAGAGGAACGGCGCACAGGCTGTAACACACACCACAGGCCCTTGGTGTCACCCACGATAGTGTGACATTTGAAGGTACAGTGACCCCACTGCTTTGTCTCTTCAGGAGCTGGACTTGGGGCTGGGGGAGAACTTTGTGGTAGAAGACTATGTTCAGTTCTCAGCACCAGACAAACAAATGAGCCAAAAACCAGATTCCTCTGAAATTGGTAATGATGCCAAATGTCTCCTTTGAGATGAACAGCAGCTATTAGTGTTGCTTATGTCATGTGCATTAGCTAAATTATGATACGCTAAATTATGAACAAGCTGACTATGTAGCATAGGGACCAATGATTGTCATATACACACATCTATTTGTCATCGATTCTATCTATCGATCTATCTGTCTATCTATCGATCTATCTATTAATCATCTGTGGATCTATTCATCTGTCACATATGTAATCTGTTGACTCTATCTATCTATCTATCTATCTATCTATCTATCTATCTATCTATCTATCTATCTATCTATCTATCTATCTCTACTTCTTTGGTTACAGTGGGAGAGACCCATTGGTGGTTCTTCAGATATGGCAGATTAATTCTGTATTTTTTTACATTACACACACGGTGGCCTAGAACCACACAAGCGTTTTCTTTTACAGTGCTAGAAGTCGTAAGTCCCCAGTGAGTCTTACGGGGTTACAATCCAGGTGCTGACAGGGCTGTGTTCTCCTGCCTTTCCCATCTTCCAGAGGTTGCCCACGTGGCTTGGCTCATGCGTCCTTCTTCCATGTTTTTTTTAAAATGCATCACTGGAGCTTGAACACAGGCCCTGTCCCTTACCTGGCTTTTCTGTTTACAGCTGGCCCTCTACCACCTGAGCCATAGGTTAATTCTTCCTTATCTTCAAAGCCAGCCAGAGGGTAGTGTCTTCTCTCCCCACCTCTGCTTTCCTCTGTGTCTACCACCACATCCTCTGCCCTCGCATCAGGACTTGATGAGGAAGTCGGTCTCACTGGCTAACCCAGAGCACACCCCCCACCCCATCTCCATCACCTCTGCAAAGGCTATTTTGAGGGTGAACATTTCAGGGGTTCCAGGGATTAGGACCTGCAGCCTTTACTCAGCCACTGCAGGTGGGTGGCACTGTGCTTCTGGAAGAAATCAGACAGTTGGTGGAGTGGTGGCCAGGCCATTCACGTGGAAAAGTTCACAGCTCCCGCTCACGGCAGCCCCTTGAGGCCCCCTGTGAGGGTGGGCTCAGAGATGGCCCCGCCCCACTGCTTTGTTAGCCAGACATAGCGGCGTCTTAGGATGCGCAGATCCAGTTTCAGATGAAGCTCGTCCTGCTGCTTTATCTTGGCAAGCACTTCTCCATCAACGCTCTTCCATCCAGGGCCAGATTTCACCAAGCCAATATCTACAGTGGCCCTGGCCAAAGAGCCCGACTCTCACGGAGCAGGGGGCAGAGGGAACTGACCCGTCTGCCAGGGCTGTGTGAGCTCAGGGCCTGCCTGGGCCTGCCGCCCTCTGGATTCGGCTCCAGACCCCACCCCTGCCCAGAGCCTCCCACGTGGACTTCCCTCACCACCGAGATGGGCTCTGGTTGCAGGACAGTGGTGAGATGTGGAGCACGTCTGAGGCAGCCTGTGAGGAAGGTCATGTTTTCAGCTGATCTTGAGTGTTGGGGAAAGAATCCTGTCATCCCAAGCCCGTGGTCTGGCCAGGCTGGAGCGATGCCTCTGCTGTGTGCAGGGGCCGGCCACATCTGTGGTGGGCCCCGCAAAGGGAAGTGGAGGATGTTCGGCCAAGCCTCCTCCTCATCTCTGTCCACTAGGTGTCACTAATCACATCCTCTCAGTGTGTTAGCAACAACAACAACAAAACATTTCTAGACATTTCCAATTGTTCCTCAGGGAGCCAGTTGGCTAAAATGAAAGAAAACAAAACGTTGGGGGTTGACTAAAACCCATTAAACTAGAATGCAGCCCTTTGTTTTTAAATTAGAGTCTCCAATCAATTTAGGCTATAATGTAGATGACGTCTGGTCCAAGGGCAGCTGTGAGGATGACAGGAGGTAATCTGTGTTGTTTCTGGGAAGCTCTTAGCTTGCAGTGTGGGACACATAGGATACCTCAAGGGCCAGCTAAAGACACATCTCCTTAAGGGACCGAGGCTGGGTGCCACGAGTCAGGGCCATCTGTAGACAGAAGACAGCCCCTTCTTTTAGCCTTGTTGTTATCCGGGCTCTGTCTCAGCCCACAGTAGGTTTCACAGCACCGGGCTGACACACGGGAGAGGCGCAGTGTAAGGAGGCGGTGGATGGCTGGCTTCGCCACACGGCACTGAGACAAACGCCGTGCGTCTCCCTCGGGTAAATACACAGCAACATTGACAGTGATTGCATCTGCGTTTTTCATTACTCTCATTAGTTTTATTTCCTATTATTATTATTATTTTCCGTGTGTGTGTGTGTGTGTGTGTGTGTGTGTGTGTGTGTGTGTGTACTGAAGCTTCAATGTAGAGTCTTGGGTGCTCTTGCTTAGTTTTTTTGCTCAAGGTTGGTGTTCTACCACTTGAGCCACAGCTCTATTTCTGGCTTTTTGCTGGCTAACTGGAGAGAAGAGTCTCATGGACTTTTCTGCCTGAGCTGGCTTTGAACCGTAACCCTCAGGCCTCAGCCTTCTGAATTTGATCAGAATACATTATAGGGCCAAGCCACCAGTGTCTGACCATGTAATTTACTCGGATTAAATTTACCTCTTCCTATTTTTCTTTCTCCTTGTGACAGTCTGTTTTCCTGCATTGCATGGAGCTTTATACATTGTGATTGGCCCACACTGAGATGTGATTGCTGCTGACCCGCGGATTCATCTCAGATACAACATTCCTCTCTCCTCCTCTCACCTCTCCCCCCCCTCCCCCCCCCCCTTCTCTGTCCTGTCAGTTCCCCAGGCTCCTAATTCACAATTATACCAACCAGCCACTTCTCCACAGGTAAACACCATGGCTCCCAAGGATTTGGATGCCAGCAGCAAATGTGAATAATTGCTAAGATTAAAACTGACTGAATGTGCCACAAATACAAAATATCTGACAAGTTCTTTTTATGCTCATGTTTCTATTACTCAGCATAATAATTCACTTGTTTAAAACACTGTTTCATGCCTGCTGAATTGTTTTAAGAAGATGGTGAGAAAGGGATGTGGGGGAATGACTGAATACATTGTTTACATGCGTGGAAATGTCACAATGAAATCTCCTTCACAGAGTGAACACATGCTAATAACATCACTATAGTCATTACTACTACTCAGATGGAACTGCAAATGTACATGTTCTTTTTTTTTGTACTGAAGTTTGAACTCAGGGTTTTGAGTGGGCCGGCCAGGTGCTCCACCACATCCCCACCCCCTTTTTGCTGGTTATTTTTCGGCTAAGATCTTCTGGGTGTGGTCTAGGGGATAGTCTCAGACTGGGATCCTCCCATTCCTGCTTCTCTTGAATGTGGGATTATAGACATGTGGTACCATATCTGGCCATAAATATGTATTTTTCTATTCTTACAGAGGTGCAGTATCTACTGTAACCTTGAAAGAGATTATTCTGCACGATGCAAAGAGAAACAGGCCCTCTGGTAGACCAGTTAGCCCATCAGGGCACAATTCTATTAGATCAAGTTCAGCGGCATCGATGGGACATTTTGCTTGTCACCTGCTTTGCAGAGGAGCAAAGAGCCTGTGTACAATTTCTCAGATTAGCTGGCAGGGCACTGGTCTCATGCCTTTGAACATTATTTGGATGTTTTCTGTTTACATGTTAGATTTTCTATCCTCTAGACAGAAACTGAAGATGAGCGGTCCTCTGGGATACATTTTCTTGGGAGGATGTGTGGGGTGAAGGTCATTCTCATACTCACACGAGCACTGGAGGCAGAGCAACTTACCGGCTCCACTGAGGAGCAGGAGGAGCAGGAGGGAGGAGAGGCCGAGGCGCGGGGTGCCTGCGGCGTTGCAGTCCACTTTGGAGTTCTTACAGGAGCACACGTGTACCCTGAGGTCGGTGACGTTTGTCAGCGGGGGCTTCCCTGAATCTGTCACCATGATGGGCAAGTTGTAGTTTGCTTTGTTCAGGTTCTGAAGAAGGCTCACAAGGGCGTGTGTATCTGGAAGGCAAGGAGACCCTCGTGAGAGAGGAGACGAGAGTTCTGTGGCCCACCGCGGGCCCTGTGCTTTAATAAGTGATTCTAAGAGCATGAACATCGAGACAACACAACTGCGGCCCCCTGGTGGCAGGAGCCATGTTTCAAATGGCCACCTGGGGCTGGCAGCAGCTTTAGGGACGTTGGAAAGATGGCGGCTTTCTCTCATCGTAGCTTCTACAGCTCAGTGCTGTTACGATGCTCTTCCAGGGAGTCACTGTTGTGAAGATCTGAAGATTAGTGACCACCAAGATCTCCTCTTCTTCTTACCTATCCACCTATCAAACCATCTTCACAAAGACTATCTTTTTTTTTTTTTTTTTTTTCTTTTTGGTGATTGAGGGCCTTGAGCCCTGGGCCTGGGCACTGTCCCTCAGCTCTTCATCTCGAAGAAGTACTCTACCAGTTAAGTCACAGTGCCACTTCAGGTTTTCTCAATGGTTTATTGGAAATAAGAGTCTCAGACTTTCTTGCCCGGGCTGGCTTTGAATGCGATCCTCAGATCTCAGCCTCCTGAGTAGCTAGGTTAACAGGCGTGAGCCACCAGTGATCTGCCCTCTTTTCTTTTCTTTTTAATACAGGATCTCCCGGTATATAGCTCGATCAGGCCTCTAACTTACCATTAGGTTATGTGGGCCTCAAACTTAAGATCCTCTATCTCAGCCTCTTCAGTGCAGGGACAACTGGCATGCATCACCATGTCCTTAGCATCTAGAAGCTGACATGAAAGTCCCTGTGTTCAGAAGCTCATAACAACCCCTGTTGTCATGGAGAGAGATAGTTGCACATTCTGGGTTTCTGCCTGTCCTTAACCCATAGCTATTTGGGTGAGAATCCTCAACACAGAGACCGGCTTTTTCAAGTTCCCCTCTGCTTCCTACTCCCATGGGTGGTGTGTGTGTGTGTGTGTGTGTGTGTGTGTGTGTGTGTGTGTGTGTGTTGGTCCTTGGGCTTGAACTCAGAGGGCCTGCCACTTGACCCACAGCTCCATTTCTGGCCTTTTTTGTGTGTGTGGTTAATTGGAGATAAGAGTCTCACTGACTTTCTTTCCAGGCTGGCTTTAAGCCACAATCCTCAGATCTCAGCCTCCTGTGTGGTTAGAATGATAGGTATGAGCCACTGGCATCTGGCAGGATTATTTCTCAATAAACATTGAGAAAACCTTTTGAGTGTAGAAGGCATTCATCTACCAAATGAAATCAAGAGGGACAACAGGAGTGTGATAAACGTGCAAATAAACTCCACAGAACAGTCCTCCCCAGCAGGAGGCAACTGGCGTGACCGCTGTCACCCGGCTGACAGGCCAACTCCAGGGACATGTCCCCAGTCTCCTTTATATCAAGGACAGACTCCTGGATGAGGGGATTCCATCCGGAAAGACCAGATGATGATCGTCCAAACCAGCAAATAGAACACCATCCCCTGGAACAAGGGGAAGGGCTGTTTTAATTAAAAACTGTTGGTGTAACAGAATTCATTCTTTAAGAAGCAATAAACTAGACAAACAAGCAAATAGAATCAATAACGAGAGAGGGGCACGCGTGAAAGAAGGTATGAGGTAGGGCGGACACAGTAAGTAGGAGGGCTTTGCTTTTAGGAGGAAATTCTACGCACAGTTGCACGACCAGTCTTTCTATATGTAATAAAATGGGCCGCCCCTGCCCCTCAACCCCCGAAAACTACCACTGGGGTGAAGAGTGAGCTGGATCCGGAGAGCAGGGGACCAGCGCATCACCGGGGCAGGGCGCATGTCTAAAGTGCTGAGGTGAGGTGGTTGTTTCTTCCTTTTCTAGCAGACAAGATGAGCACTGGGGAGGGAATGTGTGAGAATCAGGGGCACTTCATTCCTAATAAAGCAGGTGACAAATGTTGGGTCAAGTTTTGAATTCTACCTGCTCGGGGGGAAAGACATGGAGAAACACACACCGCTTCCATTTTCATCCACAGGAGAGGAAACCTGGGAAGACTATCACAGCCAATGATGAAGATTAAGGTCACCATCAAGACTCGGGCCAGGCCCGAAATAGGAGATTAGAGGCCGGAGCCTTTGCACAGCGTCTTAGGCCGCTGGCTTTAGTCTTCTGAAGGCAGGCAGAGCATGGAGGCACTGGCCAGCGTGCAGGTGGGGGGTTAATGGAAATGGCTCTCCTGCCTCTGGGAGAGGAGACCGCAGAGCCAAGACACGCCGTGGCGGAGGGGAGCCACAGAGAGCGCTTAGCTCTTGACGGCTAAAGACTGGAGTGATCGTTCAATATTCGGTGTGGGTGAATATTCTGTGCACAGCAGTTACAAAGAATCTGTGGAGTTTAATTGGACGCAAGAGGGAAGAAGAATTACAAAGAGCCGTCTTGTGACTGGATGGAGACTGCAGATGAGCCAGGAGGGTGTGGAGGCCCCAGCACACAGGGGCGGGTGTGTGGGGTGGCATGCTCAGTGCAAGGTGGACCAGGCACTCTATGATGGAGGAAGAGGAGAAAAACCTACAGATCTGTACTGGTAAGAAAGTGTTTGTCAGGCCGTGCAGATAATGCTAGCTACTTGGGAGGTTGAGGCTGGGCGATCACTGTTTGAGACCAGCCTGAGCAGAGGAGGTTCTGGGACTCCCTCTCCACAGGGAAGCTGGCTTTGGTGGCCATCCTAGCTTTGTGGGGGGGCTGAGATCAAGAAGATGGCGTTTCCAGGCCATCCTAGGCAGAAGAGTCTGTGAGACTCCCTCTCCACAGAAGGGGCTGGTGTGGAGGTGCACACCTGCTGTCCTAGCTCAGACAGGAAGACTATCAGAGGCACACCGTGGTCCAGGCCAGCACCCGAGCAGGCAGTGAGAACCTATCTTAAAACATTCTAGCACAAGCCGGGCGCTGGTGGCTCACGCCTGTCATCCTAGCTACGCAGGAGGCTGAGATCTGAGGATCCCGGTTCAAAGCCAGCCTGGCAGGAAAAGTCCATGAGGCTCTTATCTCTAATAAAACCACTCAGAACACCGGAAGTGGTGCCATGGCTCAAGTGGTAGAGCGCTAGCCTTGAGCTGAAGAGCTCAGGGACAGCGCCCAGGCCCAGAGGTCAAGCCCCACGACCAACAAAGCAAACAAACAAACAAAAAAGGGCTGGAGGTATGGCTCAGTGGTAGAGTACCTACCTAGCAAGTATGAGGCCCTGACATTAGACCTCAGTACCACAGAGTGGGGGAGGGAAAGATATTCAAAGCTTGGCTCAGTAATGCATACCTGTAATCCCAGTGCTTGGGAAGCTAAGGCAGGAGGATGGGGAGTGCCGGGGAGCAGGAGCCCAACTCCACCTCCAACTCCCTCTCCAAAGAGAGAGAGGCGCGCCCTGCAGCAGTCTACAGAAGGGGAAAGGCAGCACCGGCAGGAGGTCTAAGGGCAGACTCACTGTTGATCTTGGAGATCTTCCAGACCTTGTCAGGGACGCTTTGCTTCTGGATTTCGAACTTGAAGGGATCTGTGTTTGGGTGAAGATCCCTGTCTGATGCTCCCAGGATGACCACGCTGAGGTTTCTGGCGTCGTCGCAGACTTCTGCCACAGTGGGATAGATGACCGGGGCGTTGTCATTCACGTCCTCCAGGGTGATCAGCAAGGTTCCTGTGCCAGTAGCCGGTGGGTTGCCTGCAGGATGGGAAAGACTTTATTGTGTACTGGTGCAAGGGGCGGGGTATTCACCCAGCACTGGTGCCATGTTCACACTTTCAAACAGGACCTACAGTGGTAGATGGCTTTATTTTGGTGCCAGTCCTGGGGCTTGAACTCAAGGACTACGTGCTGTCCCTGAGCTTTCTGGCTCAAGTCTAACCACTTGAACCACAGCTCCATTTCCCACTCATTTTTGCTGGTTTATTGGTGATGAGAGCCTTAGGGACTTTCCTGCCCTGCCTGGCTTCAATCTCAGCCTCTTGAGTAGCTAGGATTACAGGCATGGGCTAGCAGCACCCATTTGAACAGTTTGCATTTTCGTATGGGGTTCAGTGGCTTATAAGGCTTTTGTTTTGTTTTGTTGGAGACAGGATCTTGTTAGGTAGCCCAAGATGGCCTCAAGTTCACAATCCACCAGCCTCAGCCTCTCGAGTGCTGAAGCCAGGCCCAGCTTTACTTTAGAAATGTTAGAGCCGGGTTTGCAGGTCACCAGATGCAAACATGTCTTTTGACTTTATCCTGATACGGATTTGATGACAGTGCTGTACCATGTCGGGTCGACGTTCTCAGCGGGTGAGCACATCCCAACACCCCACCCACCCCCACACGCATCATTTTTCACGATCACTGCAGTGTTAGATAGTTACCCACCTGGGACACCCCACACTTGGCCTGGGGTCACCAACGCAGAGCTGCTTTTGAAACATGTACCTCAGGTGAGAGGGCAGAGCCCTGGGAGACCCCCAAAGCTTCAAGGGGGCTGTGAAGAAGACTCAGGGGAGATGAGTTGGAAGAGGAGACGTGTGAGCAGGGGAAGCCATGCAGCTTCGCAGGGAGAATGGTCTCCTTGTCTTTCTGGGGAAGAAGTTTCCGTCGGAGGGTAGAAATGGGTGTAAGGGAAGGCAGGGAGCCCTTCCCCGAGTAGTGAGAGGTTTCAGGGTAAACATTCAAGTAAATATCTACGGAAAATAGAAATGCACGTGGATGCAAGAGTAGATCAGATGGATGGCTGTTTCTTTTCCTTTTTTTTTTTTAAGGTGGGCCTCGAACTCAGTACCTGCTGCTTCCGTGCATTGGCCAGTGCTCTACAGACTGAGCAATGCCTCCGACCCCAGGATGGCTGTTTCTACCAGTGCCATAGCACCAAGGTCTGTTAGAGCAAGAACTCCTAAGCAACTGCATAATGGCTTTGAAGTTGGTTTTTTCACTGTCAGCTCTAGTCATCTGGCCGAATTTCGTCACTGAAAAATTATTTTTCTCTTTTTATCGAACTAATTGAATATCTCAGAAGAATCCATTATGTGTATTTTTTTCCCCACCCTGAATACATTATGAAGTGAAGTCATTTGGGAGAATGGATGGGAAGACATTACCAGCATTTGAAATATGGCCAGAAGAATTGGCCTTTCGTGGACTTAATTATACTTCTGTCTTCAATTTCCCATGTGTTATTCTCAGGCCAGCTGGTGATGTCTTTCTCTGAAGTCAGCAAAATGAGCTTGGTTCCTTGGGTAGTGGGAAAAAATGGCAGGAGGCAAAAAATCTCCCGAGGAAACCTTCTCTACACCCTGATTTTGGGGAGGGGGAACGGTCACATTCAAAATCCCATGTTGTAATGCAAACTATAATGATTGCTTGGTGCTGGTGACTCACACCTGTAATCCCAGCTACTCAGGAGGCTGAGATCTGAGGACTGTGTTTCAAAGCCAGCCCAGGCAGCAAACTCCATGAGACGCTTATCTCCTCCTCCTCCTCCTTCATTGTGGGGGTTTGAACTCAAGAACTCGGTGCTGTCCCTGAGCTTCTTTGCTCAAGCCTAGTGCTCTACCACTTTGAGCTACAGCTCCACTTCTGGTTTTCTAGTGTTTTATTGTAGATCAAAGTCTCACAGGCTTTCCTGTCTGGGCTGGCTTTGAACTGCGATCCTCAGATCTCAGCCTCCTGAGTAGCCAGGATGACAGGTGTGTGCCACCAGTGCCCAGCTTGTTGGTTTTTTTTTTTTTCTGGCTCTGTTTCTCTGCTCAATCCTGTCAGCACGCGATACTCTTAGCCCATCCAGAACCAGGGAAGCCCAGATGGTGGCCAATGTTGGACTCCAAGTGAAGCTCCCCAGGGCTGAAGGCCTGCAGAGGGAGCTAGGGCCCGAGAAACCCAAGCTGCACAGGGTCTCCTGGCATTGCTTTCCTTTCCTTTTTTTTTTTTTTAGTCTGAAACCAGGACTTGAACTCAGTATCTGGTGCTTTGGCTCACTGGCTAGTGCTCTACGAACTGAGCCACACCTCTACACCCCCCTCCTACCCCCTCCCTCCCTCCTACCCCCCACCTGCATTGTTTGGATTCTGACCATGGAGGGGATGAGGGATGAGAAGCAGGGACAAGTTTTCTGTGTGTGTGTGTGTGTGTGTGTGTGTGTGTGTGTGTGTGTGTGTGTGTTTGGGTCCAGTTGTGGGGCCTGAACTCTGGGCCTGGGCGCTGTCGCTCAGCTCTTCCGCTCAAGGCTAGCGCTCTACCACTTGAGCCACAGCACCACTTCTGGCTTTTTTCTTTTTGCTTATGTGGTGCTGAGGAATCAAACCCAGGGCCTCATGCACGCAAGACAAGCACTCTACCACTGAGCCACCTTTCCAGCCCCTTCTTTGTGTTTTTCTATCTCCAGAATTTTTCTTTGATTCAGAGTCTTGACCAAACAGTATTCTCCCATAGCCAAAAAACTGTGGAGCTTTTGCTTCCGGGTTGCGTTATTCTGAAGCTATTCGTCTAAGCTGTGTACCTTGTTGGTAATAGACACAGCCGGAAATGTGGGATGACTCTAATTTAAAAAATGTATATTCGATTGGAAAAGGATTAGCAAGGAATATATTAAACCCAAGTGGTGATTATCTCTCCAGGCAATTAACATTAAAATAATACCTTTCTGTATTTTTCATTTTCTTTACAATAACCATAATTGCAATAATAATCACAAAGACAATATTAAATCCAAAAGTTATATGGGGATTAAAAATGCTTTCAGTTCTTTTCTCTGTTCTTTCTTTTCTCTCTCTCCTTCCCTCCCTCCCTTCTCTCTGTCCTCTCTCTTTCTCTCTTCCTTCCTCCCTCCCTTCCTCCCTCCCTCCTTCCCTTCCTTCTTTCTTCCTTTCTCTTTCTATAACGTAGTAAATTAGCAAATTCAGAGCCATGCAAGTGGAGTAAGTGCTGTCATGAAGGGGCAGTGGGTGAGGTGGTCAGTGTGAAGGGAAGATGAGGAAGAAGAGGAAGAGGAAGAGGAAGAGGAGGAGGAGGAGGAGGAGGAAGAGGAAGAAGAAGAAGAAGAAGAAGAAGAAGAAGAAGAAGAGGAGGAGGAGGAGGAGGAGGAGGAGGAGGAGGAGGAGGAGGAGGAGGAGGAGGAAGAGGAAGCAGCAGCAGCAGCAGCAGCTGGGTACCAGTGGCTCATACCTGTAATCCTAGCTCTTTAAGAGGCTGAGATGTGAGGATCAAGGTTTGAACTCAGCTCAGGGAGGAAAGTCTGTGAGACTCTTACCTGCAATTAACTAGCAAAAAGCCAGAAGTGGAGCTATGGCTCAAGTGGTAGGGTTCTAGCCTTGACATAAAAAGGTAAGGGACAGTGCCTAGGCCTTGAGTATCAAAACAAAAAACCAGAGAGAGAAGGGGGGGGGGGAGGTGGGAATAGGAGGCCCCCTGAGTTCCTTGGAGTCTGAGTGCTAGGACTTTCCTGAGCGGTGGGCTGGGATTGGGCTGGATCTGTGTTCAAGGCCATGTTCTCGTCACTGGCGGGAGTGTGCATGCAGAGACACTGTGAGAAATGAGAGCTGGCAAAGCAAGAAGCTGGAGGCCCGAGTCCCGGGACACCACGGGAGGAGTTGTGTCCAGATGTGGACCCCAGGACAGCTGGGTGGTGAGGCTCGTGTGTAGGGTGGGAGGCCTGGGGAGGTCATGGTCTGCTCCCCATTCCATGTTTCTGTTGAGCCTTCGGTGGGGGCTGGGAGCCCGCGAGGGGCAGAGGTTTTGCTGCACGAGACGGCTCTAGCCTGGCCCTTGTCTTTGCAGAGAGCAAGCCGCCCTCCCCTCGCTGAGGGTCCCCTGTTCATGATTTTGTTTATCCCCTGTCTCCCAGAATCCTAACGACTTACAACTCATTTCCATGTGTCTCGGAGCCCAGACCCCCATTGTTTTTAACTCATAAGCATTTTTATTGCTTTGTTAATAGAGATCTTGATAATTTCATTTTAGAAAGCATATCTGTTGAAAAAAAATTAATAGCAAACCAAATACAATATAACCTGGCAGAAAAATAAGTTTACAAAGCGGAAAGCCAGCTTCCTGTGTGTAACACCCGTGGGGAATGACGCCACATAATTCGGACTAAACTTCTCTTAGGAGACGCGGGAATCTGAGGCCGGGCTGTTGGTTTATCTTTGATTTGACTTTTTGGGTTGACGTAGGAGGGAATAGAGAAGTGGGCGGAACTGATCAGGAGGCCATGTTTAGACGTGACAGATTCATTTCATTCCCTCCGTCCATAGTCCTTTTCGGAGACTCCTGTCCTGTGCTTGTGGGGAGAGTGGGGGGGCTGACAGTGGGGTGGCTGGCTGATCCTGGGGGTGCAGGTGAACAGGAAGGCAGCCGGGAGGCCAGGCCAGGGATGGGGCCCACAGTCTGGGCAGCCAGGGCCCCGGGGCGGGGGTGGGGGGGTAGCTCCTGGGGGCTGTGAACCCAGAAGGACCGCCTGGGAAGGCTGGGAAGGCCGGCTTGTGGAGGGCGTGGGCTGGCGTGGGGCCTGGGTGGCTGGCAATGCTCTCCGGGGAGGAGGACGCATTGCAGCACGTCCAGGTGACTGTGCCGGCCCCGTGGGCACGGCTGATGGCCTTTTAATGCCCACATCTATTTCTTTCCCGTGAAGGTGGAGGAGCGTGGTGTGTAAGACGGCTGAGCGGTCGGTGGGTGTGGAGCGTGGTGTCAGGTGGATGGATGCTGTCCAGCCAGAGGCCAGCTCCCTGAATTGCCCCCGGAGTAGACGGAGGCGTTTTCTGGCTGTCTAATGGGTGCCGTGGCCTATTCTGTGCATAGGGCTCTGTGGCTTTCCTGTGCCCAGATCCCCACCCGTGCGGCCACAGAGGGCGTTTCCCTGTCCGTCTCAGACACTGAGTTCACCCCTGAAGGACCATCCTGTCAGCTCATCCTCAGAAGTCAGCCCGCCTGGTGCGGGCAGCTCAGCGGGAGGTTCTGAACCCTGCAGGCTCTAGGGATTTCCATCCATGCTCTGGTCTTGGTGACAAGCTGGTGACATCGGCCTCACTCTGCAGACAGGGATGCTGAGAGGCTCAGGGACGAGGGGAGCTGGTGCATCCTGCGATCTGTGCCGGTCTCATCACAGCCTGCCCCCCCCCCCCCCTCCCCCCCTTCCCTCTCTCCCCCTTCCCTCTCTCCCTCCCTCTTGCCAGACCTCGAGGGCCAGTTTTTCAGTGACAAAACTGTAGCCTCAGTGGAATGCTTGGTGGCTCATGCCTGTAATCCCAGCTATGCAGGGGACTGAGATCATAGTCAAAACCAGCCTAGGCAGGAAAGTTTGAGAGACTTATCCCCACTTAACTAGCAAAAAGCCTGGGGGGGGGGGATAGGAGGGAGGAGAGGAAGAGGGAGGGGGAGAGGGAAAGGGACAGGGGGAGAGAGGGGGCAGGAGAGAGGGAGAGGAAGAGAGAGAGAGTGTGTGTATCTCAAGTGGTAGAGTGCTAACCTTGACCAAACAAGCTAAGTGAGAATGTGAGGCCCTGAGTTCAAATCCCACTACTGGCACACACGCGCGCACACACACACACACACACACACACACACGCACACATGCACACACTTGTAGCTAGTATTTTCGGCCTGATTAATACTTTGCTGTGTTTGAAATAACACAGAATGATGTCTGGGCTTGCTATACATTTATTCTCCCTCAATTAATGTAACAGTGGAGATAAGACCTGTTAGGGCTCCATAACTAATGACTTGATTTTATCCAAACCAGCATCTTTTGGGTAGAATCAATGTACATTGACAACCTTCCTTTCTCCCCCGCATCAATGAACTCTTGGTTGACCTGCGGCAAGAACAAGACCCTGACTCTGCTCTTCTGAAGTTCGGGTCCCCTCCGAGCCCCAGCTTGGGGCTGTTTGTGTTCAGTGGTTCGGCAATCATCTGCACTAAGTAACATGCTTTGTCTTTTAATCAGTCTGAATGTACGCTGAACAGCATGTCACTTTTTAATCTGTGGCTTTTCAGGACACCAATCTCTTGGAGGGCAGAGGGGAGAGACAGATTGGGCTGGGAGACATCTTAGCTTATGAAAATCATGACCGTGGAAATGGAGCTGTGGCTCAAGTGGTAGAACACCAGCCTTGAGTCAAAAAGCCAAGTGAGAGCACAAGGCTCCGAGTTCAAGTCCCGGTACTAGTACACACACACAAGAATCACAATCTTAGGGATACCCAGATTGTCTCTGTTATCCTGACTGTACCCCTGTGTATCATCTTGACGACTCATACTTTTTGACTGACAAACTCAAACATACTTACTCTGTGTGGGAAAATGCTGTTGAATTTAGTAGGACTGTGGCTTTTTATTCTAACCCCCTTCCCCTTCCCCCTCCTCGTTCTCTCTCCTTTTGTTGGTACTGGGGTTTGGACTTAAGGTCTCATACTTGCTTGGCTTGCTTGGTGGGTGCTCTACCACTTGAACCATGTCTCCAGCCTAACTTTTTGCTGGCTATTGGAGAGGGAGTCTAGTAGACTCCCCCCCCAACAGTGACCTCAAACTGTGATCCTCCAGACCTCAGCCTCCTCTGAGTAGCTAGGAGACCCAGGAAGACTTCATCTAGACTCCTGTTTTTTTTTTTTTTTGTCAGTTGTGGGGCTTAAACTCTGGGCCTGGGTGCTGTCCTTCAGCTCTTCACTCCAAGGCTAGCACTCTACCTAGACTCCTGTTTCTATCACTGAATGTCAGGAAGAGGCAGCGAGGAATAACATCCCCTTCTGTTTGCATTCTCTGCAGAATGCTGGTGTGGGATGGGGACATTGGGGTGAACGTGTCCCTGCTGGCTGGAACTCCTATGTAAAGGGTGCTGGTTTGGATCAAACCAAACCACTGGTGATGGTGGCACCGTTTAGAACTCCTTTTCAGGCAGAGGCCAGCCCTGGTCGGTAACATGCAACCATCACGGATTGCTGAACCTGTCCAGGTTCTGAACACGATAGGGAGGTAGGGAACATGGGACAGGTGAGATGGATGGGGAGGAGGAGGAGGAAAAGGAGGAGGAGGAACGGGGGGGAGGAGGAGCAGGAGGAGCAGGAGCAGGAGCAGGAGGAGCAGGAGCAGGAGGAGGGATGGGAGGAGGGATGGGCAGCGGAGCGAGCTCTGAGCTGGGCGGGTCAGGTCTTCCCAGGGGACCCTAGCAGCCGGCACCAGGCCAGCTTCAGCTCCCATTCCCCTGTGCGACCGGCATTTGGCCCCTGGGAGAGGAGCCCAGCCGCACAGCGCCCCTGGGCTCTGCCCAGTGCTGGTGACCCACGGCCCAGCCCGGCCCGGGCCCGCACCTCCCAAGGGACCGCCTTTCACTGCATTCCAGAACGCTTTCTCTCCGGCTTGATAGTTCTGTAACGGTTATCGTTTTCTCCCCTTTCCTGACACAGGGTGGCATTTCTCTGCTGTGGAAATGTTTCACAGGGTTACTCCATGCTGAAGGCCAGACTGAACCTTTCCAGAAAATACGCACCACGGAAGGCAAAGGACCATTCTCAGCTCTAAGGAGAAAAATGCTGGCCTGCCACGCCGAAGGCCACGTAGCTCTCATCTGCAGGAGTCAGGCTTCGCCGACCCCTCACTCAGCTCTACAGCCCGCTCTGAGTTGGCAAAACAAATTCATTTCAGCTAGACTGGAATGATCGTCTCAGGTACTTTATGGCTCATTAAAATTGCTAATAGGCTAGCGCTGGCTGCAATCCTCGATACTCAGGAGGCTAGGATCTGGGTGACTGTGGTTCAAAGCTAACCCAGGCAGGAATGTCTGTGAGATTTTATCTTCAGCAAAAATCAGGGCAGGAGGCATGGTTCAAATGGTAGAGCACCTAGATTTGTATGCTTGGGGTAGCTTCCAATGTTGATCCTCAGATCGCAGTCTCTTGAGTAGCTGCGATTACAGGCGTGAGCCACTAGATAGGCGTGGAGTTTGTGACCCTTGAGTATCTCAGCCCTGAGAAACCCCAGAGGAGCCGGCTGTGCAATTTGGAGGTAACCAGCCCAGCTCCCAGCACCAACCTCCCTGTACTTTCAGTGTCTTCCATGAGAAGTGGGCGTGCGAGGAGAGCTTGCTGCCTCTGGTTGGTCCCTGTCCCCTGGGAGACTCCAAGAGATTTCCCATTGTCCTTTGAAAGGTACTGGTCCTCAGGGGCAGGTGGCCATGGGGTGGGAGGAGCAACCTCCACTTTCTTGCCTGTCACGTGACTCTGACAGGGTTTCTGGTTTCTTGACCTCTCGGGCCCTGCCTGGGTCAAGCCTGCCTCTCACCCTTCCTTTTTATCACTATGGTTTGGCACAGATTCCCAAGTGACTCCTTGCTTGGGAAAAAAACCAACAGGGAAGATTTAGCTTCTCTGGTGTTAAATGACAAAAAAAAAAGTCTGTACTATTTTTCATTATCTCAAATATACGGAGTTGGAACGAAATTAGTAAAAACAAACGCTCACGTTGGATAAAGTGGAGGCACCAGTTCCTACGATTAACTTGGATCTAACAAAGTGTTGTCTTTCCCTGATTAAACACCATAGAAGTTTCCAGTGAGTAGAGGAAAACAAGCCTTCCAACCAGAGTTACTCTGATTTATGAAGTCTTTCAAGTTCATGTTCTTTTTGCTCTCCGTCTTTGGGGCTTTGTTCTAGATGATCATTCCTCACGATGGTTCTGAATAGTAATTAGTGCCAGCCTGTCTTGCACATGCTTCTTGAGGGACATTTCGCTCCTTGCGACATCTGTGACACGGGCTTTTGATCTCTTTATCTGGTATTAGTGTTGGAGAGTTGGACAGTAAGCCCACTGCAGGCTGAGTTTTCTTTGGGTCACAGAAGGATTATTCTCAGCCCCAGCTTTTTTCTCCAGAGCCCCACTGGGGCAGGTGACAGTTCATATGGCTTGTGACAGAGGTCTGAGGGCCGGGTCTGGCCGCTCATCTTCCCAGGAATTATCCTGCTGGCTTTCTAGCGGCAGCACGTGAGCCCCAGAGTGAACGAGCAGCTGCCAGGCTCCCGCCTGACCATGGAGGGGGGCGCTTGAGCTCGCTGCCCGAGCCATGCTGGACGCGATCGCCTTTCCATGGCGGCCTGGGCGTCCTCACGCTCAGAAATGTCCCCAGCCCCCATGTGCGTGCTCGAGGAGCGGCCTCCCTGCCTCCACTCCCCGACGCCCCGCGTGCACCCCAAGAATCAGAAGCGCCCAGATACGCTTGAGCCTGACAAGAGCGCCCGGACAGCGTCCTCGAAGCACTCACCGCTGTCGGTGGCCAGGAAGAGGGCGGTGTAGACGCTGTTGTGGACGAACGGGGACTCTCGGTCCAGCACGGCTGTGGTGTCCACGGTCCCGTTGATGGGGTTGATGCTCAGCCAGCCCGCTGGGTCCTTGTACAAAGAATACCTGGAAGAAAACCCAAACAGCAGCTGGCATTGGAATCTCCTGAGCGTGGCACAGGCCCAGACTTCATGCCAGCTTCCGCCGCCGTCCAGCCAGCGAGGGCTGATGCTCAGCTTGGGGGAGTGCGGAGCCTCCTTCCCTCCTGGAAGGTTTAGCACAAGGTCGCCCGGCAGCCACAGTGCAGAGCTGCGCTGAGAATGCATGTGTGCATGGGGTCTGGGCTGAGGAACATCTGTTCAGTGCTAGGAGTCAGCCACAGACACCTTGCCTGGGATGGGGGGGGGGGGCAGCTGAATGCAGCCCTGGTTTCTCTGAATGGGAAGATTGCTGTCGGGGTTTCTCTGCCTCTGTCTCTGAGGACGGACGGCTGGGGGGCGGGTGAGGGCCCTGCACACCCCACCCCGCCAGCTTTGGCTGGTCAGCTGCAGGACCACATTTCTCCAGATGAGCATGCTGCAGCTATGGCCATGCCAGCCCCCACAGGGGGAGAGCCCCCCTCCTCCCGGAGCCTGCTTTGAGATCCGGCTAAAGGTCTGGAAATGGAACCCTGAGCTGCTTGGGGGTGCCCTAAACCCCATCACAAGTGTCCTGAGAGGAAGGCGGATCTGAGACTCACAGGCCCGGAGAGGCCCACGTGATTGCAGAGGCTGAGAGGAGAGGCTGCGTCAGGAACAAGCTGGCTACAACAATCACAGACTGTGCGCAGCTCTTATAAACACCACCACATTTGTTTCTGGAATCAACCTTGTTTTGGGGAGGTGAGGTTGCTGGAAATCAGAGAGGCTTAGCAACTTGTCCCAAAGCAGCCCAGCTGAGGCTGGATTCCAGAGCCTGGGTCTGGGCTCATCATGCGCAAGGCTGGGCTTCGCTCACCAGCGCGTGGCAGGCCTGACAGCAACGCTCAGCGAGCGAACCCCGTGTCTCGACTCCTTCAGTGGAATTCTCACAGGGAAGATGCATAAAGGTCCACATTTCCCCCCACCCTGGGTCCTTAGGTAACAAGTTCACAGCAAATCCAGGAGTGGTGTGTGGTGGGTCCACAGATTTACAATCATGAAAATTCCAGATGGACCATGTTTCATTCCCTCATTATTCAACCCAGCTTAGAAAATAAATAAAAAAGGGGGTGAAAGAATCTAACTTTTTCCCGCGGCAAGCAAGAGGCTGCGTTCCTCTGTGTCGCTTATTTATTTCTGTCTCACAGCGCTACAGTGTGACCGCACAGTGAGCACATCCTTGTGCTGCGGGGTAGCCACACCGCACAAAGGCTTAGGTATGAGCTCAGAACCGGCCTCTGCTTGGCGTGAGCAGTCTGGCTGCCTGCCTCTCCTTTCCAGGGAAAGCTGGGGCTGGGGGGCTGGGGCCGGGTGTTTTTGCAGGCTCCATAGTTCACTGTTTTTCCTCTTTAAAAAGAAATCAGATGGGCTGGGAAGGTGGCTCAGTGGTAGAGAGTTTTCCTTGCATGCATGAGGCCCTGGGTTCAATTCCTCAGCACCACATAAGCAGAAAGAAAAAAGCTGGGAGTGGTGCTGTGGCTCAAGTGGTAGAGCGCTAGCCTTGAGCTGAAGAGCTGAGGGACAGTGCCCAGGCCCAGAGTTCAGGCCCCATGACCGGACCCAAACAACAACAACAAAAAACAACCCCCCCCAAAAAACCAATCACATAGCCAGGTGTCTACCCATGGCTCATGCCTGCAATCCTGGCTATTTGAGAAGCTGAGATCTAGAGGATGGCGGTTCAGAACCAGCATGGGTGGAAAAGTCTGTGAGGCTCTATCTCTGAAGACATGGCTCAAGTGGTAGAGTGCCAGTTGTGAACAAACAAGGGCCTGAGTTCAAATCCCAGTACCTGGGCACATGTATACATGCGCATGCTTGCATGCACACACACATGCACACACAGAGCAATCAGGCACCCGGTTATGGTCTTTGTGCTTACACAGGACTAAAGTGGTTTTTTTCTCTGTGTTTATTTGGGGCCTCTTCCCCAGACCCCACATGGAGGGGGGCCTGTGTCCCACACACCCCCTTGTATAGCCGTTGCTCCTCAGATCAAGACCAGGGCAGAGGGCACAGACAGGCACTCCATCTGTCATGGCCTTCCGTGGGCCCACACCATTTCCCAGTGCCCACGTAATCCAAACTAAGAGCTGCAGCGCTCTGGGTACCAGCTGGGTCCTGACACACTGGGACCAAGGTTCCGCCACCCCGCATCAGCTTTTCCACTTTCTGGCTTTTCAGCTCTTTTGTCAAATCAGCTCTTTGGACCAAGTGGCCAGACACTGAATCGTGCTGATGTTTTATTTAAAATAAGCCTCTCCATACACAAATGCTGTAGGATACTTTCTTGCTTCTAGGCCTGAGAAATGCAGATGCCTTAGTAAATTGGAGTTTCTGGGCAATTTGTCTGTAATGTGAACACTGCTTGTTACGGAGAGGAGAATCAAATTAAAGACGGAGCTCATTTAGGTCTGTGCTGCGGCTCACAGAGTGGCTCTGAGCTCCTGCCAAGCCTTGGTTATGTCTGGGGTGGGGGTGGGGGTGGGGTGGGAGATGTCAGAAATTGAGGCTGATGGGCTAGAGGCCGGAGTCAGGTATTAACCTGGAAGGACTTTCTGAGCCGAAGGCTGTCTATCTTCCTTCTTTTGGTGGGAAGGAGGAAGGAATGGGGGGCTTGGCAGGCCTCTGGGTGTGGCTCTCTTTCCCTGCTGGCTCCCCTAGGCATGGTGCCTACAGGAGAGGAGTTAGGGGGTTGAACTCAGGGCCTCCTCTTCCTGCAAGTGATCTACCGCTGGGGCCACACATCCAATTCTTTTTTTGTTTTTGTTTTTTGTTGGTTGTGGCGCTTGAAACTCTGGGCCTGAGTGCTGTCCCTCAGCTCTTCAGCTCAAGGTGAGCGCTCTACCACTTGAGCCACAGCGCCATTTCTGGTTTTCTGCTGGTTTATTGGAGATAAGAGTTTCATGGACTTTCTGCCCGGGCTGGCTTTGAACCGAGATCCTTAGATCTCAGCCTCCTGAGTAGTTAGGATTACAGGCGTGAGCCACTGGCGCCTGGCATACATCCAGTTCATTTTGCTTTAGTGTATGGCTATTCCCCCTCTGCTTCTCAACCAGCTGGGATTACAGGCACATACCAACACGCCCAGCTTGGTGTTTTTTTTTTTTAAGATAAGTTCACATGACTTTTTTGCTTAGGCTGGCCTTGAACTGCAATTCTCCTCTGCCTCCAGCATGGTTGGGATTATAGGTGTGTGCCACCATGCCTGGCCTGAGTTGCTGTTACCTTCAGATGGACCAAGCCTTGGTTCCTTCCAGACACTCTAACTCTTCCCATGACAAGGGACTGCGGGCCCGGATTCGAGACGGGCAGTGGACCACGTCTGATGTGCTGTGGGTCCGTTTCGCAGCACACGGCTGGGAGCGGGATCTCTTTTTCACTTTTCCTGCATATTCCAAACAACTGCTCCTGCCCACCCAGCCTGCTACCCTACCCCTACTCCTAAGTCCTGAGAAGGCAGTTATTAAAGAAAAGCAAAATCTTCACAAATGCCTCTCAATGATCATTTCGCTATTGCTGTCAGCCAAATCGATGGCAAAGAAATACAGAAAAACAGACTCAGTGTGTGAAAGCGGGAGTTGGTCCAGGCCCTGGGCCCCTGCCGGGGAACTGTGGGGAAGACATCAGAGACCAGGCATACCCTGAGCCCCCTGGAATAGGGTAGCTTGCTCAGTGTGGGTGGGGCCATGCAAATGAGCCTCCCTCCACAGGGTAGCATGCCCACTATGGGTGGGGTTATGAGTTTCCCTTCCAAGGGAATGAGCCTGCCTCTGAAAGGGTGCAGAGCGGAAGGCTGCTTCCACCACTCCCCATCCCTCTGCTTCGCCCAAAGTTGTCAATCCCAGGAAGTGCTCGTTCCTCACGTCTCAGGCTCAGGGCTTGTTTCTGGCAGCTGCTCTGAGCCTGCTTTATCCTGGAGAGACAATTTCATCTCTCAGAGTTCTCTACACAAGTTTCCTCGTATTCTTGGCTCTTCCCATCCCTCACATCGTCACCTGACGCTGCCAAATAGACTGTCTGCTGGCTCAGTGTGGACAGCCTGCCTTTGAGGGCAGGTAGCAATGCACAGGCCCGTGCGACAGACACATGGACAGAGGGTGATGGCTACCTAGCAACGTGTCCAAGGAAATGGCTTACAAGATTAAGGCAAAACAAAATGAGCAAAACCCAATCGGCCTTCCCACTTTTGCCTGCTTGGCATTAGCTGATCGGAACGCTGCGGGGCTCAGAGCCTGTGTGCCGGGGCTTGGCTCCAGGTGGCAATGTCTGCACCAGAACCAGGCAGGATTGGCATATCCCTGGTCCTAGGCAGCATTTTTTTCCTCCAAGTCCAGAAGATGCCTCGCTCCTGCCACAAACCTGGCCTGTGACCTTTAGGGCTTGACTTTGGCTCCCACCCTTGACTTCTGCGTCCAGCTACCAAAGACGTGACACCATATTCCCTGGTTCTTTTTGATTCTAATAAATCATGCCAGTCTTTACTCAAGTGATTGTTACGCATGCATGAGCAAAAAAGTTATAAAATTATCCCTGGCAGGCAGATGCAAACGGAGATCCTGGTAGTTTTTCGTACATGTCATGTGACATTTTACAATATAGAGTGAATGCAGAGAGAAAGAGAGGGGGGGGAGGGGGAATCATTAAAGGTGAGAAAAATAAACAGCCAGGAAAGAATGGCTGTATGAATTGCTCTCTGACATCAGCAGGATCATTTTTTTTTAAAAGTAAGATCATGAGAAGTCGATTTATGTCCCCAGAGCCAATGCAAATGCAGGGTCTGCCTCATATCCATTTATCAGCTCCCAAGAGCTGATTTATGGTCCAACCGCCTGCTTTGTATTCTGACTGGCTTGGAAGGTTAACTGACAACACAGAAAGAAATATCCTCCGACTCATTGCAGATGACGGGTTATAAATGGCGCAACTTGATTTTTCTCCTCTGGA